GAAAAAAAGTAGCGCTAGTGATCAAAAGTTGTTAGATCTTGCAAACAAGTAACCCAAATATATTCTGATTGTGACATCTTCAATTGATTATCAGAGTATTTGGGTTTAAAACGCTGTGCTTGACACTTCCAAGCACAAACGCCTTAATACTGGCAGCGTAGAGGAGAGCTTAGCGAGTCATCAGACTTTCAAGCTCTGGGTATGTTTTCATAAATGTCTCTCTTGATACCAGAGTTGCAGGAAACATTATTCATTGTACGCAGTGCAGAGAACTCGAGGGGTCATATAATCCACCCAAACCCTGAGCAGGGTGCTGGTGAGATAGATCATTAAAATCCTGCAGGTGAGCAGAGGTCTGTTCAAGTCCAAGAAGGCTTTCCTCTGCTGACTGTAGAGTATGTCCTTCCTTCTCATGTGACTTGCAGGCAGAAGTTTATCTCTGATTCTTGCATGTGACTCGCTATGTTGTTATCAAGCAATCCAAAACGTATGAAATTCCGCCTTTTGATCTGTTCCGCTGTTACCTAATCGTTCACAGCCATTGACCGACAGAGAAACCCCAGTCAGTATTCTGCAGGCTCACCGTGATACAGTTTTTTTTTTTTTAAGTGAACAGCGTCCTTCATTGCTATTTTCTGACAGTTTTCTGTACGATAAATCGAATAGTTAATATTCTCGGTTTATCATCACTGGTATTTTAAATATATCTGGCATAAGCAGGACCCCCTTTTCCCTTTTCTAAAGATTTCCGTATTTTCTCTGCCTAGCAAGCATGTTACGCTTTTTGCATCTGCTGTTTAATCGGAAAGATGCTTGTTAAGACCTGGTGTTTGGAAAAGCAGATGTTAGTCCAGTGATTACAGAGAATGAGATATGCTTCAGGTAATCTGCCTGATCTCCAGGAATCTGTGCATTTAGGTGTAGAAGTGGATTAGATTACTTCCAAATGTGGTTTGTTTGGGTTTTTTTCTTTTTTAATACAACAAAAGCAAAACATGCCATTTGATGTCTGTTAAGTGCCAAAACCAGCTCCCTTAGGAAAGGGGATGCAAGAAATTCTGCTCAGGACATGTGAGGAGAAAGAGTATTTTATCAGGCTCGGTAGCTTTGCCCACCTTTAGGATTTTGCACTTGTCATCTTTTCACACCATTTTTATGTTCTTTGCGTTTCTGTGGCTGATAGTAAGGAAAAGAAGGTTTTCCACAGAGGTAGACATTTTTCCCTTCCCTGTACTGTTCCTCAGCTCATAAACTTCCCAGAAATTTTTGGCCATGAGACTTTCATTTCTCTAATACGCAAGATGGAGGTTGTTTGGGCATGTGAAAAATAAAAATTTTAGTAATTTAAATTACATGAAGAGAGTGGACCAATCTGGTCAAATCCTGTTCTCTCAATTACTTTTAGAGGAAGCTACATATCCTTGCTGAGGGAACATAGTGGGGAAAGGAAAAGAAAAGAAGGCTTCTGCCATGCTGAGTGATTGTAAGTAAGATTTCTCTTAAAGTATGTAGGTAAAACAGAGTTCATCTGAAACTGCGTGGCATATTGTCTTGATTTTGCCAAGCAATCTATTTGCTTGAATTTTCTTTAAAAAAAAAAAATCATATGATCTTTAACATGAAAGGAGTTAAAAAGAAAAAATCTCTTGTATTTATATCAGTAGTATTTTAGGAGTTGATCACCTTAAAGAACCAAAAAGAGGAGCTCTGTGAATAGTCTTTACTCAAAGCGTATTGCTACCAAGTCTATGGAGATGTTATGAAAGCCTGTTGAATGTCCTAATTCAAGAAGTTTCTGCCTAGTGGTAGAGACGGATGTAGTCTTTATAAAAAGGAAATATGCTGAATCTCATTGTCTTTACATTTTGCTATTAGTAGCAAATCTTGAATTTCAGACTTTTTTTTTTTTACTATGTTAGTTTGCACCATGCAAAAGTGACATTTCTCCTTGAAATAGATGAGTTTGCAGAAAATGCAGAATTTAGAATGGTAAGAAGCAAAGAGAGAATCTTGGTCATTCTGTCTTCTAAATTTGCTCTGAAATGTTGAAGTTAATTGACTCATTGAAGGAATATTACACATAGTTATGTAAACCACAATTTAATTCTCAGCTATTTCAAACCTCCAAAGTATCTAACAAAATCAGTTGTGAAACAGGACATTGTTGAAAAGGTAACAGGAAAAAACAGTGTCTGACAATTAGCATTGGCTCTTGGGGGGAAAAAGGGTTGTCTTTCTAAACTCCCTACTGCTCTCTCCTGTTGAGTGTCTACTGACTTTGCCTGAATATCTGACAAATGTTTTTAGTTACATGCATAGCTAGTTTTGAGTGCGCTTCTAGTAATAACTCACTCATTGACTTGAAGTCACTGACTTCGCTGAGTGCTGTAGATAACGCTGTGTAAGAATGTTTGTCAGTCTTCCTACCCTTCTATAAACAGACAAATCTGAAAGAAAGATGTTTATTATGTCACAGCAATTGCAGGA